ACAGATACAGGGTGATCAGAATTCTGAATCTTGAACCACCCTGTAAATGGTCCAATTAAATGTCAGTAGATAGTAAATCAAAAGTTGAGATGGAGACATAAAAGCCGTTTTGACCAATAATGAATAGTTTCGACACAAAAAAATCCTAAAGTTGAAAAATCTCGATTTTGAACACCCTATATCTCTGTAATCATTCCCGCTATACCCCAAGTGTGATGTATTGATGAAATCAGCTCTTCAGGAAGAATCTAAAAATACAATGAAATACAGGGTGTTCCATTTGAAAAAATCAAGTAGTACTCTGTAGATCGTTTGTTCCGAGCACCCTGTATTTTCTGATGCAACGGGAAAAAAATTCTGAAAAATCATTTTAGATTATTTTTCAAATTTTGAAATCGGTTCACAAATAAGTGAGCTAGAGGGGGGGACATTTATGGTGAATCACCCTGTACATAAGATGTTATATCTGGACATTCATTGGACGGATAAAGGACGTATATGAACTACATGTACTACGTCCAATTGACGTTCTTCATATCCAGTGTATCTGGACGTTTATTGGACTCATACCAGACCTTCATGGACCTAAGTAGACGTCCACTGGACGACCATGAGGTCCCTGATATACATCCAATGGACATACATAAGACGTGCATGTGCTATGTGGGAGTCAGACAAGCACCGAGTGTAGAAGAGACAGTCATAAACCGCGCGATATAAATCGTTCTACATAAATAGGAGGTATAAGTTCAATATAAATTAGTGTTTCTTCAGTTAAAATGAGTCTGTCCGGTTTGCTTCTGCACTCGAATAACGTAACAGTATAATATTCGGATCGCTGGCCCTACTTCCAAGAAATTCAAGATACAGGTGTTGACTGCTTTCGTCATGGCAGATCTGATATCATTCGGATCCAAATTTTCAAATGTTTGGATAATACTCTCTAACAATTCGTCTCTCGAACGCATGGGTCCCTAACAACACAGGGTTTTGTCCTAGGTACGTCCCTTTTTTGTCCCGCGGTACAATGACATGATTGGGGCCTCCAGGGGATGTCCCGCAGTGGTTGTCCAGTGGACATCCCGCCCAGTACATCCCTAGGTTATCCTATTGGAGTTCCTGGAATATCTGATATCCATTCACATTAGAGTCATTGAATTTCATCAAAATTTTGAGTTGAATTTTTTTGAAAATGTTTTTTTCCGGAAAATAATTGTAATGAAAATAAAGAATGTAGTCTAGATAGATAGATAGATAGATACTTTATTGCTTTTTAAGACATAGAGCCCTATAGCAAGGGTTTGGTATACAATTATACTAACATCTAGGTACACAAATTAATAATAAAAAAAGGTGCTAACTACTATGGAACAGAGTGAATAGGCTATGATATACATACGTACAACCAAATATACACACATATAGGTTGCGACTTGTTGACAGGTCATTCATTTCTCAGAAATGAGCGCAGCTTGAGGACGTTCCAAATATATTCAGAAATGGTTTTGGCAATTGCAGGTGTGATATTGTTGAGTGAGTTAATCAACGATTCATGGGTCGATAAAAAAGGGCAGTTCTTAGGCTTAACTTCCTTGAGCATTGGACATTCAAACAACATATGCTCCAACGTTTCAAATGATTGGAGGTTGCATATTGAGCAAATTTCTTTTGGTTTTATTGAGTAGGTAGAACCTCTGTATGTGAATTTTATAATGTATTTATTGGAAACTCTGAGTTGGGCGATAGTTCTCGTTATTTGAATGTCTAAATTTAGGCAGAGATAATTTTTTTCGGACCTAGTTACGATAAGATGTTGATAATGGGTTAAAAAATTGGATCTCAACATAATAAGACAGTCCTCTTCATAAAGCTTATCAGAGTATATCGCCAGAATCCGCTTACGGTTCGATTTTAAACTGTGTGGATTCATTTCAAGCCACAGGTGTGCATGATCAATTTTTTCAAAATACTCTTTTGTTTGAAGAACCCAATTGTATTTGGAGTTATTATTTTCAGCTAGAGCTAGTTGCCGTAGGAAGCATAATTTCGGTAACCTTGAATCGGGCATTTCTAGGATGTTGATGATCCAGTTTAAAGTGAGCTTGAAAATTGTATGAGAGAGTTTAACACAGCCTGTTTCGAGTCTGACGATATAATCTGGAGTACTGTTAGGTAGAAGTAACAGTTTCTTGAAAAAGTTAACTTGAACTCGTTCCAAAATATCCGGATATCTCAATCCCCAAACAGGGATACAGGAGGAAATTACACCTAAAACAATAGATTTATAAAGCTGAATTCTAGGTCCCCACGACTTCATTTTGGCTTTTGCCATTATAGGCAAGACTGCGCCTATCGCCTGTTTAGCTTTTTCTACCGTAGTTTGAGCCATTTCGCGAAAAAGAGAAGAAGAAACAAGAGTGACCCCCAAATAGACAAATTTGTTAACAACCTCAATTTTTTTGTGGTTGTAAAGGAAATTTCCAGAGATATGGTGATTACCTAACCCACTTCTAGTAAAACACATAATTTTTGTTTTTTCGGTGTTAACATACAGCTGGTTTTCGGTAGTATATTTTTCGAGAATATTGAGTTTCCGGGCTAGGTCTATCTCAGAGTATGAAAAAATCACTAAGTCATCAGCATAAAGGAGCATAATTATTTCATTACGATTATCTATATTGATCCCACGTGCTCCCTTACTGAAAAAGTACTCCTCAATGTCGGCTAAAAAAATTGCGAACAAGATTGGGCTCAATGATTCACCCTGTAATACTCCTTGCGTAATTTCAAATGATTTTGTGAATCCATCTGAGGCTTTCACAGTCATGTGAGCACTATCATAAATATTTTTAATTATTTGGATGAAAGTGGAACTTACACCTGCTTTATGCAATTTTTCCCATAGTAATTGGTGGTTGATAGAATCGAAAGCTCGCTTAAAATCGACGAATAATGCAAATAATTTTCCACTTCTGTTTCTGAGTTGAAGTTGTATGATAGAATTCAGAGTAAATATGTTATCCATGCATCCACGTCCCCTTCGAAAACCAGACTGTGACTCGGGTAAGATATCATTACTTTCCGCCCATTCGTCAAGCCTATTGAGTAAAACATGCGTAAAAAGTTTAACTGGGCATTTAATTAGGGCGATTGCTCTGTAGTTTGACGGTTCATCGGAAGGCCCTTTTTTATGTAGCATGCGCATCTGTACCTCACCCCAGTGATTTGGCAAGACTCTACGTTCCAGAATTCTATTGAAAAGTGAAGTTAAGTATAGGACCCAATTGTGGGGAAGGTTTTTCAAAAATTCATAAGAGATGTTGTCGGAACCAGGACTTTTATTGTTTCTGAGTTTATTGAGTACTAGGTATATTTCGTCAGAAGAAATTGAAATGTCCAGGTGAGGATTACGGGCATCAAGGAAAATAGTGTTATCAACAAGTCTATTTGGATACACGTTCTCATAGAAATTCTCCCAAACGTTCGTAGGTAAGTTTTTTTGGAAAGTGACTCCTCGAAATTGCTTGATGGTCATCCAGAAAGTTCTTGTATCTCTGACATTAGTTAGTTGGTCTAAAATTTGATTCTGAAACTGATCGCGTTTCCATTTGATGGTGTTTTTATAGGTCTTTTTAGATTTCAGGAAAATATCTCTACTCACGGAAGAGAAATTATTATTTTTGCAGAGCTTTAGGTCAGCAGTCATTTGTTTTTTTGCCTCGAGGCATTGATGATCGAACCAAGGTTTATTAAGATTGGGTTTCGGATTCAAGTAGATTTTTTTAGTGAGGCCTAAGGAATTGGCAGTTTCTTGTATGGCCAATGAGAAGTTTTCATAGGAGGATTGTATGTCTGGCAAATATACAGCTCTGTGAGAGTTCTGCATGGCTAGTTTATAGTCTAGGCTAAGTGTAACATCCCAGTAGAGAATATTCTCACTAGCAGATGTATTTTTTCCGGATATATTATTTATCATAGTACATTGTTCATTATTTAACGAAAGGAGTAGCGGAAAATGATCGGAAATGCTGTTATCGTTTAGAACGGACAAATTATGTATATAGTGAAGATGTGTATTATTAACCCAAACTAAATCGATAACACTACAACCCATTTTGCTCACATACGTGTAATTCGCAGGCCTGTCAAAGGAGGTTCTACCATTCAATAGAGTGAAAGAATTTCCATGCATGAATTCCAGAAGCCTACGCCCTCTGGTATTTATTATACTATCTGAGCTCAACCTACGCTCGTACAGATTGGAATTTTCTAGAGCTTCTTCAGAAGTTACTCCAGCTTCTCCCACGCGGCAGTTGAAATCTCCACCCATGATTATCAAAATATCATTAAAACTTTCAATTATTCCTGTGAGGGAGTTCTGGAGAAGCTCTAGTAAATAATTTACATCTAATTTGGGGTTGATGTAGACACTACATATAATAAATTTCATTCCAGGTTTTTCGTGCAAAACAATTAACCACCAAGGAGACTTATCTAAGATTTGCGCTTTGAGTGATTTGTTATAAAATATACAAAGTCCACCACTGGGCCTACCTAAGGATTTTTCTTTTATAGCTTGCGATGATATAGAGTGGAATGACGGGGAGGGAGGTGATATATAATTGTGAGTTATCCACGTTTCACTTAAGCACAAAACATGTGTGTCAGCCGCGTCCTGAAGAAAATTGTTCACATTGTTGAATCCTTGGCAGTTCCAGAATGTAAGATTAATTGGTTGCTAGTCCTGGTTTGCTGATGCGAAAGTTTTTGTGATTTTCAGCCCGGAGTTTCGTCTTGGGGATTCATCTTCGTCCCTTTGGCGCTTGTAGTTTTCAATAGCTTTGGTTGAAACAATTTGAGGTATTTTATTTATGTATTTAATAGTGATGTTTGTTTCACCATTTTCTGTTCGATTTTTCAGTTCTTCTCTCAGATTTTTCAGATAACTGATTTGCGCCTTGGTAGAATCTGGTGTTATTTTCACATGTGGATAGTGAGACCTTACAAAATTCGTTTTGTTTTTGAGGATGATTGAAGCAGCTTCTGCAGATTGTAAGATAATTTTGATTAATCTGGGTTTTTGAGGGTCACCCGTGTTCTTCCACAGACGAAAAACAGAGTTCACTGAGCTTGTTACATCAGGCACAAAGCTGTTGAGAAAGTGCTTCACTTGTGAGATATCTGAGTTGTTTGTAGTACCTTCGGGTAGACCTGATACAATAACGTTTTTTTCACGTTTGATTCGATCAGCAGCCTCTGCGTACAATTTTTCTGAAGAGAAGGGACGGTTCAATGTGCTGAATTTCTGTTCAAGAATGGATACTTTTCCTAACAGATCATCATTTTGTGTGCGCAAGTCAGAAATTTCTGATGTATGAGTCACGAGTATGTTGCTCAGTTCTTCGATCTTATTGTTGCAGCATGTAACTGCATTCGTTACAACAGAGAGCTGTTTCATGATAGCATCGAAGTGAGATGTATTCAAGGGTGTCATATCACTGAGTTGTGTAGCGGATGAATTCATACGCAGTATGCAGATATCGCAAGTCCAGGTACGTGATTTGCCGTCCGCACTGGATTGGAGACGGCCGCAAGTTCCATGTGCTGGCTCGCCACATACTGAGCAAACAATAGCGTCTTTGCTTTGGATTGATTTATCACACGCATGGCAGGTAGCAGACATATCGAGCAAAATGTGTGTCGAGTTAACTACAGATGTAGAAAAAGTTAACCGTTTTTTTTTTCTTCTTATCACTGTGTTTGTCGGAACAAGGTATGTTCAACAGGTCGAACCAGAGCGTGAAAAACCTCTAATCAAAGGATTTCTACTCACTTTTATAGTAAGATCGAAGTAAGTCAGCCACTATTCATAAACGATGTTCACACTATCACAGCTGAAACCAAACTCGAATAAAGAATGTAGTCTCAGAACTTTTGAAGGAATTACCATTTTTGCAAACGGAAATCGTGAATGCATAATGCCCCTGATTTTTCATACATAAAATTCAAACAAAGTTGTATTTATTCAGGTTTCAGTATTGTACTGTTCATAAATCTGTTCAGTATCTGAATCTTCAGAAGGCATATTAGCTAGTGCCTGATAAGCTGAAGGTCCCGGGTTCAATCTTTACTCGACCTACATTTTTTTTCTTTTGTCGAAGGGATGTCCCTGGAATATCCTAGGTATATCCTTTCTTTGTACTTGGTACATCCCAGGGACGTACCAGAAAGACATCCCTTGGATTGCATTCTTCTGAACGGAGACAATAGCATTGCTTCCTGTTCAGTTGATATAGATAGAACATGGTATTCACTACTGGAATGTGGAAATAAAAATGGTAAATTCAAGATTAATTAATGAAAACATCCTGTAACTCATTTGATTGCAAACGTCACCAATTTTCACTGAGAACTGAGAAATGTGTCAGGACAAATACGAATTTGCAATACAAACAATCAATTTTTTATGTTGAAAACGGGAGCAGATTCGTTCCCGAAACTTCCAAAGATAAGTAAAAATTTGATATTTTTTCTATATACCTTTATTTCTCTTCTTCAAAACTTTTTCAATACAAATTTTCATTTACAAGCCAGTGAATTTTTCTTTTAGGCTCTATGATAGAAAAATTCTTTAAACGCAGTGATATTTTGGGGCAAATCATCTGATTTGTCCTAACTACACGTATATTGACATAGTATTTTTTTTCATAGAGACGAGGAGAGGAAATCCCAAAAAATCTGGAATAATGAACAATAGTGTGATTTACGTATTCATTAAATTGTCTTACACAATAACACTCAAGCAACTGCATTGGATCGGAGTGAACTTGTAATTTTTACTCAAGAAACTGCCAGAAAAAATTACTCTTCCTTCTGACTACCGACTTTTTCGAACGCAATTTTCTTCGTTTAATTTCCAGGCAACAAAATTCTCATGAAAATGTCAAGTTCACTTCGCAAAAAAAGCTCTCGTGATGGTGATGGAGAAGGTGCATCCTTCTTTATCGCTGTCAAAATGACTAATGTCATCCTCAAATAGCGTTTTCTGTGCAGGAGTTGATTTATCAACAGTAGAGTCACTAAATGGTATTAGTTTGATAAGAGTTCGGACACAGAAATGACAACGGTAGGGTTTTTGAATGTTTACATTTATTAAGTTACGCACACCTTGCATTGTGACAAAAGCACCATAGTCGTCCCGAGGTTTCTCATTCAAAATTGTTTGAATTTGACAATAAATTTTATAAACGTCAGAATTGAGATAAAATTCCATAAGTATACTTTTGAGAGAGAAGCAGCTATGGAAATCACTTGCTGTGTAATGAATAACTGTGTCAATTCTGAAGAGAATTCAACCATTCGTTTATGGAAGGAATATATGAAACGGCCTGGGTGGAAAATCAATGTGAAGACGAGCGGAATTTGTAAGGTATACCTACTCATTGAAATTCACTTCTTATAACAGCATCTGATCAGAATGAAACTATATTTTAGGCCCATTTTCTAACAGAAGATTTCAAAATCTGTTTGAGATAATCTGCTGTTCCATAAATTTACAAAGCAGACGATTTCAAGAACAAAATTCCATTATTATCACACGAAATACCAAACAAAATAATCAAGGGAAAAGAGGAAATGATCGCAACATCACATAATGAAATTAAAAATTTGAAAACGAAGCTATAAGATGAGCAAGTAAACTACAACGTGATATATTATTGAATGGCGTTTTTGGTGCCGACCAAATTCAAAATTTAACAGTGAAAAGTAAATGAACTGCTCCACATTTGAAGTGAGACAAGCGAACATTTTGTTTGTTTTCGAACCGTGATAACTTTGGATGAGATCAACCGATCTTTGATAAGTTTTGAGATTGTGATTGCCCAGTTGATTGGCTATAACATATTTTTTTCACGTTTCTCGACCATTTCGGAATTATGACCTACAGGATGATATCTGAAAGTGTGATACTTTCCGAAAAGTTTGAGGTCGCCCCGTTAGCAGGATAATTTTTTTAAAAGTTTTCTGACGGCAAAAACATGAAGCCTAATGTGTTTCCTCGAAATGGTTTCGGATTCATCAAGATCCATACAGGATGTTTTGAGATATGCAATTTTGAACAACATAATGGCTATTCGAATTTTTTGAATACCTTAAATTCATTGGTTAACCCCTCGGTATAATATGTTGTCTGGGAAATAATCAGAAATTGTCAAACATTTGATTATTGTAATAAAATATGCCACGACTAACTAATGAACAATTACAAATGGTTCTCAGAATGAGAGATGGTGGTTTGAATGTTGAAGACATTGGACAGTATTTCGATACATCAAGAGCTTCAATATACAGGGCAATCCGTCGTCACGATCGAACAGGAGATCCTAATTATCGTCACGGAGGTGGACGACAACGGAAGACTTCAGATAGAAATGATAATTCGTGATAATTTCTTAGTTACTTCGGTACGTCGTCTTCGAACACCAGACTGCTGGACAACTGAACTGTGCACTAAGAAATGCAACAGGAGTTGTTGTCTCAGATGAGACAATCAGGAGAAGGCTTCATGAGCGCAATCTGAGAGCGAGAAGGAGGGCATCTTGTACTTTGTTAAAGCTGAACCACAGGATAGCTCGAAGACTTTGGGCTCAGAACCATTTGAACTGGGGAATAGCTGATTGGAGGAGATGTTTATTCGTTGATGAGAGTAGGTGTAATATGTTCAGATCAGATGGAAGGATTTTAGTATGGCGAGAACGGGGTGAGAGGTTTCTGGAGGAAAACATGGAGGCGCGGGTGGCATTTGGGGGTGGGGGTGTTACGATATGGGGCGGTATCATGATGAATCATCGCACCAGGTTGGTTATTTTGAGGGAAAGTATGAATGCTGTTCGATATCGTGACATGTGTATAAGAGATGTTGTTATACCAGTTGCTCAAAACTTTGGAGACAATTTCGTACTGGTCGATGATAATGCACGACCACATCGTGCGAGAATTGTAACCGAAGTTCTGAGACAACATAATATTGAAAAAATGGAATGGCCACCCGTATCTCCAGACATGAACCCAATAGAACATGTATGGGCTAGGTTAAAATTATGTTTGAAGAGAAGAGAAGGTGAAATCATGAATATTCAACAACTGGAAGATGCGATAGTGGAAGAATGGACAACTATTCCCCAAGATTTCATTGATGGCTTTATAACAAGTATGCCGAGAAGAGTTCGGCCAGGGGTGGTGTAACAAAATATTGATAATCGACCACATCTGCCGTTGTTAATTTTTCTTTATTAAAAAAATATTGTGTTACGTATTATCTGTATTCTCTTCGTGGTATATGTTCATCAATTCTCATTCTCTATATCCACTGAAAAAAAACATCCTAGCTTTGACAATTTTATTCATAAAATAACCACACTCCACATTCACTTTATTCCTCCCTGCGAACTAACCCTGAAGGTTTTTCGTTCAATCACGAAATCACTTTTGCTAATCCATGATATTGCATATCTCAAAACATCCTGTATGGATCTTGATGAATCCGAAACCATTTCGAGGAAACACATTAGGGTTCATGTTTTTGCCGTCAGAAAAATTAAAAAAAAAATTATCCTGCTAACGGGGCGACCTCAAACTTTTCGGAAATTATCACACTTTCAGATATCATCCTGTAGGTCATAATTCTGAAATGGTGGAGAAACGTAAAAAAAATATGTTATAGCCAATCAACTGGGCAATCACAATCTCAAAACTAATCAAAGATCGGTTGATCTCATCCAAAGTTATCACGGTTCGAAAACAAACAAAATGTTCGCTTGTCTCACTTCAAATGTCAGTAGCGGCGTTAGGGTAGGGCGCGGTTGGGCAACCGCTCAGGGCGCCGGATGAAAAGGGGCGCCGCAAAAACCTCTATAAATTCCTCAAATTTTTCAAATCAACGTCATTAACGCATCTCACAATCAACAGATATAGATCTCAGTAAATGCACAGAAATGTTGAAAGAATGCTGCACTTTCTCGTAAGAATATAGAAATACTAACTCTGAAATCGCTATTTTAACTGCAGAGGAATTGGCTGGAGAACTAGAAATTGAACCTAAGCTTGGACCTAATCTTAGTGCCACATGGATAATTCAAAATGTTGAGCGTCAAGCTGGTGAAACTGCCCGCCACGTGCCCTTCTATACAGAAAAAAATCAGGTTTAATTTTTCAAATCAACGTCATTAACGCATCTCACAATCAACAGATATAGATCTCAGTAAATGCACAGAAATGTTGAAAGAATGCTGCACTTTCTCGTAAGAATATAGAAATACTAACTCTGAAATCGCTATTTTAACTGCAGAGGAATTGGCTGGAGAACTAGAAATTGAACCTAAGCTTGGACCTAATCTTAGTGCCACATGGATAATTCAAAATGTTGAGCGTCAAGCTGGTGAAACTGCCCGCCACGTGCCCTTCTATACAGAAAAAAATCAGGTTTAATTTTTCATTCATTTCAGAATGATGAAAGTAAGATATGGTGCGCGTATTCGGCCATTATTACGTATTGAAAATTTCAGAAAAATCACTCGACCGCCTACTATGATTTCTCTACGTCACAACGAGCGAGACGTTGATTCTACATTTTCCTGCTAGATGGTGATGGTGCTATTGCTGCTGTGACGAGTGAAAATAAAA